AATTCGCAATAACCAATGTAAAAGGAAAAAAATTTACATGTTTTTTTGTATAAGATATTGTTGGATTTTATAAATAAAATTTCTATTTCCTATACATTGATTTACATAAAAAATTATATTATAATTTACATAAGAATTACATAAATATACACAAAACACTTAATTGTAACTTGTTATAATTAATTTACATAAGAATTAGCTATTTAATTATTATAATTAATTGCTAAAGTTATTAAAACACAGTTAATTTTTTTTTGTTTTCAATAAATAATTTAAAAAGACAAATGTCAAAAAGTTAGGTGACAAATGGCAGTTTTTCATAGGTTGAACTCTGAGAAACCTTACTATCTTATATAAGATGTTTTATTATGAGTTTGCTTTGCTTTTTGCTTTGTTTGGAGTTTTTTTCTTTATTCGTCTTATACTACAAAGAAAACGTTCGATGATTGAATGTTGCTATGAATTATGAACATGAGCCAATTGATAGGTTCGTTCAATTCACATTGTGACATAAGACGATGGAGATACACAACTACTACAGTATTCTCTTTTGAATCAATGACTTTATGGCGAGGTGTAAACGCCATTGATGACCCTACGACCGAGTATAAACATCGATGATGACTCGACGACCGAGTATAATGCCGTGATATTTTGAAGACATGTCCAATTTCACCCGTGTTACCACGTATAAACTTGCCGGAGGGGTATTGGGAGATTGAGAGGTCGAAATCGACCAAGAATAAACGGTCAAGATCATTCGAGAATGAACGGTCAAGATCACCAACTAAGATTATGGGAATAAAGAAGATTTCCAGAAAATTGTCAATATTGAAGATAATAGGAAAGTTAATATTTGTGTATAAGTTATATTTCTTATTCCGTAAATGTAAAGAACTTGTTAGACAAGTTAGGATCTTTGTATAAATAAATCTATTTGGCTAATGAATAAAACTGAGAGAAACTATTATACTACTAAAGTTTCCTCCACAGTCTATCAGATTATGTTAATACTTAGAAACCTTCATTCACATACTACCCATTTAATGATGACGTACGAGGTAGGAAGAAAAACCATGAGCATGTATGAGGTAGGAAGAAAAACCATGAGCACGTACGAGGTAGGAAGAAAAACCATGAGATAAGATGAGGAATAAGATAGTGTTGTATAGCTAGAGTGAGGAATCAGATTTGGTAGGAAGACAAAATTAGGTTGTATTACATTTTACATCTGTATTAAAGAGAACATATTCCTCAAGTGCAGAGCGTAATTTTCAATCCATTAATATTTTGTGAAAGTGGGACGCGTCTTACATCTCAAAGTAGGGGTCGTATTCACTTTTGTACATATGACGCATAAACCGCAATCTTTTTGATCATAAACAAACGATAGATAACGAAAGGAATATTAAAACATGTAAGAGGTCAACGTAAGTGGAACATTCATAATTTATAACAATGTATATGGAAAGATATCATGAAGAAAATAATATATATTCAATTTAAAACCAACAAAAATTAGTGGAATGATTTTTCTTTTCTATTCCCACCGCTAAATGCTTCTACGCCACACACCTCATGATTAATAATTTATAATGATGTATATGAAGTGGTCCTCCTTAATCATATCATTTTAAAACCAAAGATTGGTTCAAAACTCGATTTCTTTAACTCATTTCCATGTTTGAAATGATTGTTTTTTATATTTGAACTTTGCTTTCCATTCGTTCTTATCCTCCACTAGATTATGTTTTTGCTTGGCTCAAATGTTTATGGTAATAATTCAATATATTATCATGTTATTTGAAACATAATTGGACTAACCATGATATGACCTGTGAGAAGTTGATCCACGAAGTAATCTTTTTAAATTTGGGATTAAGAATAGTATACGTTATACATATATTGATTATTTTAGAGAGGAGATCATCTTCTACTTTTCGTTCAATTTTGGAGAATAATCCTACAAAAATAGAAATATAAGAAAGTGGTAAAATATATCAAATAGACGCCCTTTTTCCATTATAAAAAGATGCACTGGAAATGACGGTGGATTATGGCCCGTAGGTTTCCGTTGCTTATATATTCTTCTTTTTGTAGTGAGACAATTATATTCTCTAATTATAAAAAAAAAAATATTGCAAGGGGAATATAAAGAGAGAAAGACAGTACTGTTTAGCAT